TTTACTTTTTCTAAAATATTATCGTAAAAACCATCTAACCAAATATTGTGTTCTATTGATAACTTACTATAACTAGATTGGATTTAACTATCTCCTTCCAGCTTCCACACCTGGCCTAAAAAATTGCCCAATGGGCTAAAATCCGGCCCATCCCCTCACAAAACGACAAAGGTCAACAGATTTTGCTTGGTTAAACCAAACCAAACCATCGTCTATTATTAGGGCTCAAGAACTCACCAAACAAAGTCTTATCACTTAAAATATGAAGCGCAGAAAAAGCTAGCTAAGTGTCTGCCAGGCCCAGCATCTAATTTTAAGGATGTAAATCAAATGAAGCTGGCAAACTCCATTTAAATAGAGTTTATCAATTTGCTAATTCAATCTTAAAACTTGGGGATAAGTATTTTTTATCCCCTGAGGGAATATTTTTTTTTCACTGGGGGTGTTCGGACTAGTTTACATACATTTCAATTAATTCTTCGGGATTCCAAAATTATCGACTGGGTAAGAGCTCAAGTGGTTATCTCTATTAACAACTGAGGAGAGCCTCAAACTCAGAATCTCTTTAATAATACACCTAAGAGTCATATCGAACTACTCGACCACCCAAAGATAGTTGCGATTCCAAATCCTTATAAACCTCCTGAGTTACTGGTAGTTAATCTCAACCCCCTACTGTTAGATTCTTTTGGTTATTTTTAACGATTGGAAGGATAAATGACCTTAATGCCCTCACCTGCTCTACCCATCAATCGCAACCTGCCCCTGCCACTTTCACTTCATCTCTAGCAGCCCCCAACATCCATGTTAGGCTTAAAAAATCATTAAATTATGTAAATATTACAAACTTTTATAAGAAAATAGAAAAGAAACTAATAAATAAAAATTGTGATGTCCGAAAAATGTTAAAAAAAATGAAAAAAAAAAAACACGAAAATAAGGAAAAGAATAAGAAATATATGAAATAATTCAAAATAAACTGATCTAAAAGTTAAAAAGCTTACTTTATAGAAAGTAAAATAATAATAATACAAATCTAAAAAAAAAAAATAAAAGAATTTGAACTTGGGAAATATATTTTAGATTTTAACTTCTTTTCTCTTTTAGGTTTCTTTTAGTATTTTTTGTAAAAATATTCTTAAATTTTCAAAATCCTTAAAAGTTATTTTTTAATCCTTTTTTTTCTTTAGTATTTGTGATTTTAGGTTAAGGATTTGTGTTATTTAAGATTTTTTATTAGTTATTTGACCTTTTTTTAATTAATAAAATTTAGAATAAATTAGTAAAGTTAAAAATATAATTAGAGTAATTTGCAATTGTGTTTGGTTAAATTCAGTCAATACTCATGTTTGTTGGGGTCTACATGCTAAGATAATTTTTACGAGTTTTAGGGGGTGTAATGTATTAACCCATAATAATTAAAAAAAAAAAAAAAAGGTGTATTTTACTCTTTTACCCTTGATTATGTTAAAACTAACCGAAGAAACTTTAGGAGTTTGATGGCAGGGTAATTACCAGTAGTAGTACCACTGATGAGGGTTCTAAGGGAATTGATTAGTAGCTGGATCTGAAGAATATTCTTCAATAAATCATGATCCATTGCCTGTTTATAGAGATCATTGAATTCTCATGTAACATTAAAAAACAATATAAATAAGCGAAGAAGGATGAATGAAGGGCCAACATGTGAATCGAAGGAGAGCTCCCATATTGGTTGCTTTTCAACAAGATTGGTGATCTCCATTAACAAAACCTCATGCTGACCATGCATTTACACCATACTGTGGACCCAAATTAATGCTCATCCATCGCCTTAATTCCAGATTGTTGACTCTTGACGATTAATCAATTGAGGACCGCTCGTATATCTATAATAACCCTTTCGTTTATTTGCTTAATTTCACATCACAAGCTAACTACTTTTAACCTGAATATGATCACTTCTTAACAAAATTGCTGATATATATATATATGAAGTTCTGGATTTCTATTGGATGCATGCGCGCTCTTCTTACATAAGTCTTGCATCATTTCATTTATGTATATTGTCGCTTGCGATTGATTAATATTGGTTATGGTAGTTACTGTAGATATAGTTTTCAAGGGTTTGTGTTGAGTAAGCGAGTCTAGATGAGACAGCAGGAAGCATATATATATAATAATATAACACTGTATATCCTACAATGACATGCACGATCAGTAATATTTCAAACCCAGAAATAGTTTTCCACAGTTTTGTAATTAATGTATTTGTTCATATTGATTCTGTTGACTATCTGGATATTTCTTTGTTTGGTTCTGGAAAATTGTATTCTCTTTACAATAAAGAAAAGTTAAAAGAAGAGAGAAGATCAATCATAACAACAGAGAAAACGCTCCTCAAAGTGCGACTTAAAGATTTGCTTTTCTTTTAATAATATTGTACTTTTACTATATATGTTGGCCCCTACAAGCATTCCTTCGACTGATGTGAGCTTTCTGCGCGACTCCTTCAGATCTTAATCCACTGCAGATTGAAACTTGAAAGGGTTAATAGTTTTATTTATTTATTTCTCTATAAAGTCATGGTCTCTTCATTTTGTGCCATAAATTAACATATCCAGGGCCGATATAATCCAAGTGACATTATTCTCTCAGCAGAATCCTATATATGCTCGACTATAAACACTGGTCAATTTTTGGCCCTGGAGACTGTACAAAAAAAAGAATATACTTAATGATACTACACCATCATTAATCTTTTTTTTTTTTTTTTTGAAAAATTTAATTAAAAAATTGAATTTGGTTAAGATAAACGACTTTAATAATATATATAAAAATAAATGTTTACGTAAAACAATTTTTTTTGAAGGTGTTTTTAATACTTTATGAAAGGATGAGTTTAATTATAAGTGTAACCCTTGATTTTTATGATTTCTCTTTTTCTCTTTTTTTGTTTTTTCTTTATTTTTTTCTTTTCATTGATATCATTTTATAGCTCTCTTTGTATAGGTCTTTGTAAGAGGGGCGGATCCAACCATAGCCCACCCTTAAATTTTTTTTTTAAATGTTAATATTTATAATTTATATATTTTAATTCATCTTAATAAAAATATTAATATATAATTAATTTTTACTTTACCCACCCTACTAGGAATTTCTGGATCCGCCGACAGCATTTTTCTTAAGAAAAACTACATATCCAGGAATTGGTGATGGCTTTTTTATCATGAAATATTAGGGGGGTTAGAGATATTTGAGGCCCACCGACGATAATGACAATTTTGGTAAATGTGTTTTTTTGTAGTGTGTGCTAATTTTCGTATGAATATGATTGCTGTTTCTACCACCTTTAGATTCCGTTTCTCTCTAAAAAGTTAAAACTTAAAACTACAAACCCTCCATGTTTGGACTTTGGAATTGTTAAAACTTAAAACTACAAACCCTCCATGTTTGGACTTTGGAATTTATTTACCTTTTTAGATGAATCCCTCCAAGGTGTTTCACTTTATATCCACGGTACCATCTTGCTTCACTATAAAACTACACTAATTTCTATAACATATGTCATTTATTTTTAATTAATATAATTCTGATTATTTTTTTCATTTCCAAAGTAAATGAGTACCATCAAATATAAAGATATTAATATAAATATAGTATGATTAAAACAAAATATTATAGCAAATTAATGAATTTTTTAGTGGAGTTTCTGCTCTGATAAACAACGTATCTAAACTAGTTTATACGTATTTTAATTAATTTTCAAAATTCATTTTACGAGATTCAAATACAAGACCTTTAGGTAACTTATCCTAAAGATTTGTCATCTAACCACACCCCAAGTGGTTATTTATTTTTTTTAAGCGGAGGTTGATGACCCATCTTATAAATAAATAGATTTTTTTCTCAAATAACACTTTCCTATCCACAGACTTTTAAAAAAAAACTTTACTATCCAAATTTATATTCTATTTTTTATTATAGCATCGTTGCAACCCCATACCACCGTCATTCTATTCTCCAATCATCACTCACTAAAACCTCTTAAATTTTACTACCATCAACCCTGGCAATCGAGCGATTAAGGTTTGCCTAACCGTCCATCCTAAGTCAAATTTTGATCAATTCTAACCATAAAAATCTAACATTTTACTATCAAAAGACTCATTGGTCTCCCTTCTTTAAAAACTCCAATAGTTTTTACTAATTTTACTTTCTATTTGCCATCAGAATATAAATTTGGATAATAAAGATATATTTTAAAAGTTTATGGATGAGAAAATGTCATTAAGTTATTATTTGGGTAGGAAAAAGTCGTTAACTCTTATATTTTTTTCTCTATATATATTATAATTGATCGTTTTGGATTAAAAAATTGTGACATATATATGTTCAATTGGTTATATGTATTTAATGCAAATGATAATAATGTTAAAAATAATAAATGATAGATATCATCTCTTATTTGAAGACATATTTTAATTTAAAAATGGATTCGATTTTAATAATTCTGACACGTGTCTTTTAACAACAATTAAATAAATCCATATTACACTATTTAAGTAACCATTAATGATATTGTAATTAAGGTTTAGTAATCTAAAAGCATTAACTAATGAAACACTTCTAAATATCCCCTCTACTTCCACCTTTGCTCTTGATATTTTCCGTGAGATTCGTGAGCAGTAGGGGAAAAGAGAGAATCTAGGAAAACGTTAAGAGTTTAGACCATTTTGGCAATTTAATGCAACTCAGATTCTTTAATGGCAGGAGACAGAGACAGAGACAGAAAAAATAAATATTATTGATACCAAAAGAACTGCCCTGTATTTTACTGTTGTGGAAATAAAAGAATCGAAAAAAAGGAAATAAATATGCTGGGTTTGAGTGTAATTTAGAAAGGTCTGGACTTGGAAAGAGGAGAGATGATGCCTATGCGGCATGCATGTATACAAGCAGACAACTGTCAATACTAGAAGCCATTTTGTAGGTATAAAATGTCTATTGAGTGTTGTTACATTACACTTTCCTCCTCTCTCGCCTTGCTTTCATCTCTCTCTGCAGTATACTTCCAAAAGCACTCATTTATTTTTCAGTGTCGGTCACGATGCTTTACTGAAGAAGAAAGAAGCCGATAATTTGATTCCTCTTTCGTTTTCTTATCGAGAGGGTGTGTTTGTGTGTTGTTTTGTTGTTCTGTGCATGCACAAACATACACTACTCTCCTTATCTTCGTCTTCGTCTCCACGTGGTCTCGCTTTTTTTTTTGTTTTTTTTTCTTGTAACGGCTATCATCAAAGAGCCCATCACTCTCTTCTCTCTGCACTATAATTTATCATCATCAACTTCACCCTCTTCTCCATTTGTCATTTTCCCTTCTTCTTCTTGCTTAATTTTGCTCGCTTTGAACTCAATTTCAACCTAAAACTTTAGTTCTCTGTTCCTGTAAGGCCAATTTTAAGTTGCTTTCATGTTTGTTTTAATGTGTTAGTGAACTTTGAGGTGGGTTTTGATAATTAAGTTAAATTTGATCGAGAAGTTATGGCTTCGATTCTCCGGTTTCGTAAGCTGTGCTATATGGAGCCAGTGAAGTTTCGAACTTTTGATGAATCCCCAAAACTTTATCAAAAGCTTGATAAGAAAACAGATGATAATAATGTGATTTTAACTGCTAAAAGTGTGTTAGAAACCGATACCAAGAAGAAAAAGTGCACCAAAAAGCCGTCTAAAGAGTGGAGGTGCGTGGATACTTGTTGTTGGATGATTGGCTGTTTGTGCACAACTTGGTGGTTTCTCTTGTTCTTGTACCATTGTTTTCCGGCCACATTGCCCGGTTTTCAAGTCCCCGAATCGCCTGGAGTGAGGCTAAAGCGTGATGGCTTGACGGCTAACCACCCCGTTGTTTTGGTGCCTGGCTTTGTGACAGGAGGACTAGAACTCTGGGAGGGCAGGCCTTGTGCTGAAGGCTTGTTCCGCAAAAGGCTTTGGGGCGGTAGCTTCACTGAAATCTTTAAAAGGTATAATATATTACGATTGCATAATGTTATTGAAGTTGGTTTGGATTATTGAGCCTGTATTGAGAATTCTGAGTATCAATTTTGAATGGCATAGTGTTTCTGTAAAATTTCATGCTGTTGAATTTGGTTTGTGAATTTTTATGAGACGTGTTTGATGTTTATGTCTCAATTCTATCTTTGAATTGGATTGCCAAACTCGTATACATTTACATTTATATGCAGTTGAAAACTTGAAATTATTCCTTTCTTGCATTTCATAGTTTTGAATTTGGGTTAATATTTTGAAATTATACTGTGTTGGTATTTTAGGCCTTGGAGTTGCATGTTTGGTAGCTTCATACTATGTATTTGGTTGGTTTGGTTTTGTTGATCGAAAATTAATTGTCTGGATGCTTGTAGGCCCTCATGTTGGTTGGAGCACTTGTCTTTGGACAATGAGACTGGCCTTGACCCACCAGGGATTCGAGTTCGTCCGGTTCCAGGGCTGGTTGCAGCTGACTATTTTGCTACTGGGTATTTTGTGTGGGCTGTACTTATTGAAAATTTGGCAAAGATTGGATATGAGGGGAAGAATTTGTATATGGCTGCCTATGATTGGCGGCTGTCTTTCCAAAACACCGAGGTATGAGCATTCTTCAGCTTTTTAATGTTCTTTTTCCTGTTGGAGTTGAGTTATTGTGTGATTAATATGATCCGGGAACAATAATCTTAAAACAGCTTATTCAGCCTTAACGTTGCAGAAGAAATAGCTAGTACCTCTTTATTTTTCTCCCTAAAACATTGAGAGGTAAAGGCATTAGGGACCAACGAACATAAGGATGACATATGGGTTTGAAATCCTTTAATCTCAATATGCAAAGAACTTGATTCGATAAAATAATTTCATTCCTTAGCATAAGCAGAAATCAATTAAAGGAAATTATTTTCTAAATTCTGGTATCACTTTCCTTTAACAAAGATTAGTTGTCATGCATATGCTGATGTACTGTTCAGTCTTATTCGCTTTTGAATGTTTTGGAAACAAGATGGAATCATTTTTGTTTCATGGGGCTTTCCCTACCCGTGGTAAATCATGTCTTTTACAATGCTTATGTACCTTTTTAGATTAAATAGCTAGTTTAAGTTAATAAAGTATAAAGCAGAAATAAATTGCTGTCATATCAACTTCCACTAATATATTCTAATTGGGAACTAGCAGATTCGGGACCAAGCTCTTAGTAGATTGAAGAGTAAAATTGAGCTTTTGTATGTAACCAACGGCTATAAGAAAGTAGTTGTGGTGCCCCATTCAATGGGGGTTATCTATTTTCTACACTTCCTTAAATGGGTTGAAACACCTCCTCCCATGGGGGGTGGTGGTGGTCCAGGTTGGTGTGCGAAGCATATCAAAGCGGTTATGAACATTGGTCCAGCATTTCTGGGTGTTCCAAAGACAGTTAGTAATCTGTTCTCAGCTGAGGGCAAAGACATTGCTTATCTCAGGTTAGCTTTTTGAATACTTTCCCTCAAAATTATAAGGTTTACTTAATTTGCTTTTAAGAAGTTGATCAGTAGAAAAAAAATGTTTTCACATCATATTGAATTGCAATAATCTATACCATTGATACAAAGCATGGCCAATAAATGGTCACCATGAGTAAAGTGGTAAAAGGTCAACACAGTATATTTTCTTGGTATTGTTGGGATGTTTCTATATCCAATAGAATTGGATGAACTTAATGAATTATGAAGTTGACTCTTTTATATTTCCCTCTAGAGCTATGGCGCCTGGTGTTTTGGATTCTGAGATTCTTGGACTTCAAACTCTGGAACATGTCATGCGGGTATCTCGAACATGGGATTCTGTCATTTCCTTGATGCCTAAAGGTGGAGAAACAATCTGGGGTAACTTGGACTCATCTCCAGATGAAGGGCATGCTTGCCAGTCTGTAAAGAAAGGACAATATGCGCCATCTTCAAATGGCATGAATGCCAACCACACTGATATAAACACAGGCTTCCAAGTAAAAGAAACTGTGAAGTGTGGAAGGATAATCTCTTTTGGCAAGGCAGAATCGGAATTACCTTCTTCACAGATCCCTAATCTTGATACAGAGGTTCTAAAATTTCAGTTTTGCATCTCTCATAGCTGATCCTGCCATTTAGGGATGGGGACTTTACTAGAGCTAAATTATATATCTATTGAACTGAGTTAATTTGTTGCAAAACATGTACAACTCTTTTAGGCTACAAGTTGCGAGTGAGGCTTGGTCCAAATTTCCCTGTGCAGCATTTATACAGAGTGTTATTCACCTTTGTGTAGATCTTTGCTTTGAATAGAAATAGGTATCAACATATGTTTTTTCAGCAGTTCTTATTAGGGACATTGACGTCTTAATAACCGAATCCCTATTGCAACTTAGTTGTTCAAGGATCATGTGAAACACAAGGAATGAAATCCTATTTTTTTAGGATGTTCAGGAGATCTCATAGCTACTATTCTATCTGAACTTGAACATCCCTCATTTGGCCTTTTCAGGATTGACTTCAACAGTGAAAAGCTGGGGGTTATGATAACTTGTTGGTGGATGCATTTATAGCTTTAGGAAGTCTCATGGTTAGAATATTATGTAGCAGAAAATTGTAGCTTGGTGGTTTCAGTGATATCTTAAGACACTATGCTTATTACCCTTAATTCAGCGTAGATCAATTTTCTCAATGAGTTCTCTATCAGTCTAAATTGATCAAGTGTCCTTTTCTTCCTTATATTGGTTCTGTTATTGCATCAGATAATGATTATTATTTATCATCAGGAGTTTTTGCGCTCAAGTACCTCCAAAAATGTTAACTCATCATGTGGAGAGGTCTGGACTGAATATGACGAGATGAGTAGGGAAAGCATCAGGAAGGTTGCAGAGAAGAAAGTTTACACTGCAAGAACTCTTCTTGATCTACTTCGATTTGTGGCTCCAAAAATGATGCAAAGAGCTGAGGCTCATTTCTCTCATGGGATAGCTGACAATCTTGATGATCCTAAATATGCCCATTACAAGTATTGGTCCAATCCACTTGAAACCAAGTAAGTACAAACACCCTTTATCTGTTTTGACAAATTTAACTTGCCAAATTGTCAGAATTGGTAAATAACTACTCATCATCAATGCAAACTTAGTTGTAGATATTTCTTAAATAGGATACCTAATTTTCTGTATAATAGATGTGGACTTCCTTACGGCAATTTCTGTAGTGAAGTCTGTGTTACGATGTTATTGTTTATTACTTTAGCTTCTCTTTGTATTCACTAGGTGTTGTCCAGAGGTCACTAACAGTGTAAAATGGGATATATGTCTCAGGTTGCCTGATGCTCCAGACATGGAGATACACTGCTTATATGGTGTTGGTATCCCTACGGAAAGATCATATGTCTACAAGCTCTCACCTACTAATAAGTGCAAAAACATTCCATTCCGGATAGATGCCTCAGCCAATGGAGATGAGAACAGCTGCTTGAAAGGTGGGGTTTACTTCGTCGACGGAGATGACAGTGTGCCGGTTCTTAGTGCCGGGTTCATGTGTGCTAAAGGGTGGAGAGGAAGAACCAGGTTCAACCCTTCCGGCATTGCTACATACATCAGAGAGTACAGGCACAAGCCACCAACTAGCCTTCTGGAGGGAAGGGGTATCGAGAGTGGAGCACATGTTGACATTATGGGTAATGTTGCATTAATTGAAGACGTATTGCGAGTCGCTGCTGGAGCCTCTGGAGCTGAAATTGGAGGCGATCAGATTTACTCTGATATCAGAAGAATGTCCGAGAGAATAAATCTTGAGCTATAAGTACATTATAAGAATATCACGCAGAATAAACCATCAGCTATGATAATGTTAAGAACAGAGAGGAGAGGACTAGAAGTGGTGTAGAGTTGCAGGAATGAGAGTTTCTTGATAACTAACTATAATTAACCACCAAGCATAAAACCCACGAAACAGGCTTGGTTATGTGAAGAAATAACTGGGGAGAAAGGAGCAAGTACAGAAATCAACTGCAGCAGAAGAGGGACTGAAAATGATCAATTTTCGCGCTCGCCCTGGAGCTAGAAAGCAGAGGTTGTATGTATCTATTACCAATGTTGCAAATTTCTCGGGTTTTGTAATAAAAATAAATCACAATTCAAAACCGTTTCCTTCTGGAAAATTTTGCCTCATTTTCCATAATGTTTTGACGATCTTGGGAGAGCCATATTTTAACACAGCTGGGATGCATCATGCATCTAGGAACATAATGCCACTAAACATTCACCTTTCTTCAGGCAAAATAAAGAATCTAAGGTACATCCATATTAACTCCAAAAATTATCATTGATTTAACTGTTTTTCTGAAGTGTGAAATATTCATAGACAACCTTATTTGGGCTTCGCTATTTATTGATAATCATATACTAAGTGGGTTGCGTATGGGAGACTTATATAATAGAAAAGTAATACAGTCACCGATGGTAGTGCATCGAATTTGTGTATCGAATGACGTTAAAGTATTTAAATAACTAATAAGTAATTGACTCTATGTTAGACTTTGGAATTTAGTCACCTTTTAGGGGATATTTGTATGCAGATTATAAAATTACTTATAATAACAAGTTTAAAATAATTTTAGTTTATAAACATTTAAAATTTTAAATAATTACGTGTTGTGTTAAAGTATTAAAATACTAATAAGTAGTTGACGTATTTTTGACACTAATAGTTTTATATGTATAATATTTATTATAAAATGACTAAAATGGTAACTATACTTAAATAAGGATATACTAGAGAATTTTTAAATTAAACAAGGATAAGGTGAAATAATTATATTTTATCAAACTAACTTATAAGCAAAAAAAAAAGTACCTCTCCCCCAACTATTTTTTTTTGGCTTATAAGCTCAACTTATAATTTAAAAAAATTGTTTTCAAAAAAATTATAAACAACCTAATCAACTTAATTTTAGAGTTATAAATAAGTTTTGACCAACTTATAAGCTTAGACAAACACCCTATACGAATCCCAGGTGTTCCACTTTATATCCGTGTTACTATCTTGCTTCACTATAAACTACACTAACTTCTAAACATATGTCATTTATTTTAATTAATATAATTCTGATTATTTTTTTCATTTCCAAAGTAAATGAGTACATCAAATATAAAGATATATTATGATTAAAACAAAAAATTACAGCAAATTAATGAAATTTGTAGTGGAGGTTTTTGTTTTGGTAACTAGAGACTAAAGTAATTTATGCATATTTTAATTAATCCTTAAGTCTATTTTATGAAATCGATACATACTTTTAGGTATTTATCCCAAAAATTTGTCATCTAGCCACACACAAGTGGTAATTTTTTTTTTTTTTAGCAAGGTTGATGGCCCATCTTATGCATAAAAGACTCGTCCTGTATGTAGCTATAATTATTTTTTGAGTAAACGACTTTTTTCTACCAAATAATGATTTAATACATTTTTTTACCCATATACTTTTAAAACATAACTTTACATCCAAATTTATATCCATTTTCGATTACAGTATCGTTGAAACCCCATACCACCACCATCTGTTTCCTGTCACACTCATCAACAACCTTAAATTTTATTCTTATAAGTCCTGATAACGAGCGCTTAGGGCTTATATAACCGCCTCTTCTAAGTCAAATTTTTGATCATTTTAACCACCAAAATCTAATATTTAACTACCAAATACTCATTGGTCCCCTTTTTAAAAATCTAATAGGTTAGACCAACTTTACTTGTCTATTTGTTATCAGAATATAAATTTAGGCAATAAAGAATATTTTAAATCGGCGATTAGGGCTTATATACCGCCTCTTCTAATGATCAAATTTATTTTGATCAATTTAACCACCCAAATCTAATATTTTACTACCAAATACTCATTATCTCCCTTCTTTAAAACCTAATAGGTTAGACCAACTTACTGTCATTTGTTATCAATATAAATTTAGATAAAAGATATATTTAAAAGTTGTGAAGGAAAATGTCATTAGTCATTATTTGGCTAGGAAAAAGTAGTTAACTCTTATATTTTTTTTCCTAATATATATTATTATTGATCGTTATTGGATTAAAAAATTGTGACATATATATGTTCAATTGGTTATATGCATTTAATGCAAATGATATAATGTTAAAAATAATAAATGATAGATATCATCTCTTATTTGAAGACATATTTTAATTTAAAAATGGATTCGATTTTAATAATTCTGACACGTGTCTTTAACAACAATTAATAAATCCATATTACACTATTAAGTAACCATTAATGATTGTAATTAGGTTAGTAATCTAAAAGCATTAACTATGAAACACTTCTAAATATCCCTCTACTTCCACCTTTGCTCTTGATATTTTCCGTGAGATTCGTGAGCAGTAGGGGAAAGAGAGAATCTAGGAAACTAAGAGTTTAGACCATTCGGCAATTTAATGCAACTCAGATTCTGTAATGGCAGAGACAGAGACAGACAAAATAATAATTATTGATACCAAAAGAACTGCCCTGTATTTTACTGTTGTGGAAATAAAAGAATCGAGAAAAAGGAAATAATATGCTGTTTTTTGAGTGTATATTTAGAAAGGTCTGGACTTGGAAAGAGAGAGATGATGCCTATGAGGCATGCATGTTATAAAAGAAGACAACTGTCAAATCGAAGCCATTTGTAGGTTAAAATGTCTATTGAGTGTTGTTGCATTACACTTTCCTCCTCCTCGCCTTGCTTTCATCTCTCTCTGCAGTATACTTCCAAAGCACTCCATTTATTTTTCAGTGTCGGTCACGATGCTTTACTGAAGAAAAGAGGCCGTAAATTTGATTCCTCTTTCGTTTTCTTATCGAGAGGGTGTGTTTGTGTGTTGTTTTGTTGTCTGCTGGCATGCACAAACATACCTACTCTCCTTATCTTCGTCTTCGTCTCCACGTGGTTCGGCTTTTTTTTTTTTTCCCTGTAACGGCTATCATCAAAGAGCCCATCACTCTCTTCTCTCTGCACTATAATTTTCATCATCAACTTCACCCCCTTCTCCTTTTGTCATTTTCCTCTTCTTCTTGCTTAATTTTGCTCCGTTTGAACTCAATTGAACCTAAAACTTTAGTTTCCTGTTCCGTTAAGGTCAATTTTAAGTTGCTTTCATGTTTGTTTTAATGTGTTAGTGAACTTTGAGGTGGGTTTTGATAATTAAGTTAAATTGATCGAGATTATGGCTTCGATTCTCCGTTCCGTAACTGTGTCTATCTGGAGCCAGTGAAGTTTCGAACTTTTGATGAATCCCCAAAACTTTAATCAAAGCTTGATAAGAAAGCAGATGATAATAATGTGATTTTAACTGCTAAAGTGTGTTAGAAACCGATACCAAGAAGAAAAGTGCACCAAAAAGCCGTCTAAAGAGTGGAGGTGCGTGGATCTTGTTGTTGGATGATGGCTGTTTGTGCACAACTTGGTGGTTTCTCTTGTTCTTGTACCATTGTTTTCGCCACATTGCCCGGTTTTCAAGTCCCCGATCGCCTGGAGTGAGGCTAAAGCGTGATGGCTTGACGGCTAACCACCCCGTTGTTTTGGTGCCTGGCTTTGTGACAGGAGACTAGAACTCTGGGAGGGCAGGCCTTGTGCTGAAGGCTTTTTCCGCAAAAGGCTTTGGGGCGGTAGCTTCACTGAAATCTTTAAAAGGTATAATATATTACGATTGCATAATGTTATTGAAGTTGGTTTGGATTATTGAGCCTGTATTGAGAATTCTGAGTATCAATTTTGAATGGCATAGTGTTTCTGTAAAATTTCATGCTGTTGAATTTGGTTTGTGAATTTTTATGAGACGTGTTTGATGTTTAAGTCTCAATTCTATCCTTGAATTGGATTGCCAAACTCGTATACATTTACATTATATGCAGTTGAAAACTTGAAATTATTCCTTTCTTGCATTTCATAGTTTTGAATTTGGGTTAATATTTGAATTATACTGGTTGGTTTTTAGGCCTTGGAGTTGCATGTTTGGTAGCTTCATACTATGTATTTGGTTGGTTTGGTTTTGTTGATCGAAAATGATTGTCTGGATGCTTGTAGGCCCTCATGTTGGTTGGAGCATTGTCTTTGGACAATAGACTGGCCTTGACCCACCAGGGATTCGAGTTCGTCCGTTCCAGGGCTGGTTGCAGCTGACTATTTTGCTACTGGGTATTTTGTGTGGGCTGTACTTATTGAAATTTGGCAAAGATTGGATATGAGGGAAGAATTTGTATATGGCTGCCTATATTGGCGGCTGTCTTTCCAAAACACCGAGGTATGAGCATTCTTCAGCTTTTTAATGTTCTTTTTCCTCTTGGAGTTGAGTTATTGTGTATTATATGATCAGGGAACAAATATCTTAACACACTTATCAGCCTTAACGTTGCAGAAGAAATAGCTAGTACCTCTTTATTTTTCTCCCTAAAACATTGAGAGGTAAGGCATTAGGGAGCAAGAAACTTAAGGATGACATATGGGTTTGAAATCCTTTAATCTCAATATGCAAGAACTTGATTCGATAATAATTTCATTCCTTAGCATAGAAGAAATCAATTAAAGGAATTATTTCTAAATTCTGGTATCACTTTCCTTTACAAAGATTGGTTGTCATACATACTGATGTACTGTTCACTCTAATTCGCTTTTGAATGTTTTGGAAACAAGATGGAATCATTTTTGTTTAATGGGGCTTTTCCTACACTTGGTAAATCATGTCTTTTACAATGCTTATGTACCTTTTTAGATTAAATAGCTAGTTAAGTTATAAAGTTAAAAGCAGAGATAAATTGCTGTCATATCAACTTCCACTAATATATCTATTGGGAACTACAGATTCGGACCAAGCTCTTAGTAGATTGAAGAGTAAATTGAGCTTTTGTATGTAACCAACGGCTATAAGAAAGTAGTTGTGGTGCCCCATTCAATGGGGGTTATCTATTTTCTACACTTCCTTAAATGGGTTGAACACCCTCCTCCCATGGGGGTGGTGGTGGTCCAGGTTGGTGTGCGAAGCATATCAAAGCGGTTGGAACATTGTCCAGCATTTCTGGGTGTTCCAAAGACAGTTAGTAATCGGTTCTCAGCGGGAGGCAAAACATTGCTTATCTCAGGTTAGCTTTTTGAATACTTTCCCTCAAATTCTAAGGTTTACTTAATTGTCTTTTAAGAAGTTGATCAGT